TAATGCGTTGTGTTCGTTAGCTAAGAAAAGAGCCTGTTCAGGGAGGCTGACCGGCAGGCCAATGAGAAAGTATACAGGCCCGAGGGGAGAGGACAGCCCCAGGAAGAGTTTAGCCTTTGGACACACTCTTGACAGACGGCAGTAATGAGCCAAGCAGAGCTGGGGGAGAGGAATGGTATCCATATAGAACGAAAAGCATGCTGGGAGATACGGCAGAATAAAAGTCCTTGGGAGTAGGAAGTAGCTGGGTACTGCTGGACTGTGGGGTGTGTGGCCAAGGCAGGAGCTAAGGTAAGAGGCAGAGTGAGGTCACTACTGGCCAAACTAAGGGGTGTGACTTTACCCTGAGGGCATGGAGAGCCAATGAAGGGATTTTAGCAGGTGACATGGTTAATTGTGCAGTTTAGACTGATCACTGTGGCTCGGTTGGATGACAGATAGGGAATAATGAAAATCGAGGAGACCAGGCAATGACTGGGGCAGTTATCCAGACAAAAAGTTTCGAGGGCCTGCTCTCAGATGGGGACAGTCAAGACGAAAAGGCAGGTACAGATGTTATTAAGGGATTGGTGCCAATAGAACTTTGGGGTAGAGTGAAAAAAAAAGAATTTAGTCTGATTTCCAGAATCTTAAGCAGTGTGACTGACTTATTGGTTATCAATTTAACGAGACAGGAAATCTAGGAGGTGGAGGTGCAGGTTTGAGAAACATGTTCACTTTGAGGTTTCTTGAGAAGCTCTCCAGGGATGGTTAAGTGGAAGTTGGACACACAGGTCTGGGGTCCCAGGAGAGGCCTGTGGGGTAGCCCCATGTGTGGAACCTCTGTTGTGCAAATCAGCCTGGGATGATATGTGAACACCAGGAAAGAAGGGGCTTCGGATGGAGATATTAGGGATACCAGCACTGACATGCTGTAATAGACTAGCAAAAGGAGTCTCTGCAGAGGTGGTTACAGAGAAGGCAAAGAGAAGGGAAGCAGCATTTCTAGAAAGCATGTTTTAGAAATGCAAGTAGTACAAGGATAGAGATGTGCCATCTCATTTGGCAACGTGGAAGTCATTAGGGGCTGTATTGAAAACAGATTGGCTGGGCATGGTGGCTCACGCCCACTTTGGGAGGCCAAGGTGGGAGTATTACTTGAGGAGTTTGACATTAGCTTGGGCAACATAGTGAGACCTCATCTCCACAAAAAAAAAAAAAAAAAAAGTTAGCCGGGCATGATATGGCACGCATCACGTAGCTGTAGTCCCAGCTAGTTACTCAGGAGGCTGGGGTAGGAGGATTGCCTGAATCTAGGAAAATCAAGGCTGTGGTAAGCCAGGATCATGCCACCGCACTCCAGCTTGAGTGACAGTGAGATCCAGACTTAAAAAAAAAAAGGCCAGGCACAGTGGCTCAAGTCTGTAATCCCAGCACATTGGGAGGCCGAGGAGAAAGGAGTGCCTGAGTCCAGGGGTTCGAGATCAGCCTGGGCAACTTGGTGAAACCTCTTCTCTACAATAAATCAAAAAATTAGCTGGACTTGGTGGCGCCTGTCTGTAGTTCTAGCTACTTGGAAGGCTGAGGCGGAAGAATCGCCTGAACTCAGCAGATTGAGGCTGCGGTGGCAGTGAGCATGCCACTGCAATTCGACCCGGGAAACAGAGTAAGACTCCAACTCAAAAAAAAAAAAAAAAGATAACAGATTGACTTGCGTGGCAGGGACATGAGTCTCCTAAGAGAGCTGAGAGTGCATGACAGCTGAAGAAATGGTGGCACTGGAAGCAGACTTCCCTGAGCAGGGATGACAGGGTTAGCTGAGGCTGCATTGGCCGGGAGTGTGCCACTGCACTCCAGTCTGGGTGACAGAGTGAGACACCAACTCAAACCAAAAAAAAAAACAAAACCCCAAAACCCCAAAAACCATTCCCATCAGCAGGGAATCCCACCCCATAAGACTGGGCTGACCAATTCTTTCATTTCGAACCTCTTGACTGTGTTTTGGAATATGCACTGGAGGGATTAATTTGGATCAATTTCAGGAATAGTAGCACAGCTCAGTAGTCAACATACAGGTTTTGATATAGTACAGAGCTGCTGTCTACTGCAAACGATTTAACTGGAAGCCTCAGTTTTTTTGTCTTTAAGTGGGTTGATAACGATACCTATCTCTAGCTGCAAAGACTAATTTAGATGATATATTTACTTTGCTTGCCACAGATACAACATATAGTAAACACTTAATAAGTGACAGAGGGATCTGACATTATCCCAGGTGCAGAAGGATCTGGCATGTCTGGGGAAGCTTCAGTTTCGTCGCCTCCACGCACGACGCCTCCCATTTCATCTGCCCTTGTCTTCTCATCGGTGTTCTCACGATCCCATGCAGGCCCCTGTAACTTCTTGCTCTTGGAGAGATGGAATCGCATTCCCCTTCAGTCACTTTTTGCTGTCTGAGGAGGTCTCTTCTGCAAAGAGATCCCATGTCAGCCCTCCTTTGCTAAAAACTTCCAGCGACTTTCCATCATCCATCTAATCTCCATAAACAGTCATCTGAGGCCTTCAGGGCTCCTCTGTCTGTGGCTTACTGAAACAAACTTGGGCTATTACACAGGCTCTTGTTTAAACATGACTATGGCATGAGTGTTTGACCTTGGTCCTTATTTAAATTACTAGAGCCTCTGCTTCTCATTTATAAAGTGAGGATTATGATATTTGCCTTGCAGGCTGATGTAGGGCTTAGAGATTATAGAGGTAAAGTTGTTAGTGCACACTCAAAAAAAATGATAACTATTATCCTGCTAAACTGTTTTTTCTCTCACTGTTCTTTCTCACCGTGGTGTCTCTTTCTTATCCAAACCATAGAACATTTCCTTTTTTTTTTTTGGCGTTGGAGTCTCACTCTGTCACCCAGACTGGAGTGCAGTGGGACACTCATGACCACCCCAGCGTCGACCTGCTGGACTCGACGATCCTTCTGCCTCAGCCTTCCAAGTAGCCAGAACAACAGGCGTGCACCACCATACCTGGCTAATTTTTGATTTATTGTAGAGACGAGGTCTTGCCAAGTTGCCCGGACTGGTCTCGAACCCGCAGGCTCAGGCAATCCACTCGCCTCGGCCTCCCAAAGTGCTGGGATTACAGGTAGAGTCACTGAGTCTGGTCAGAACATTTCCTTTATACCTTCATTCCACACCCTTTCCATTCCTGTTTCTTTCTTTCTTTCTTTTTTTTTTTTTTTTTGTGGCCTCAAACATCATATTTTAGGTAGGCAAAAAGATCTCACAGATCATGCAAAGAGGAACATAAGACAAAACACCAGCTTGTACGGGCATTCCCATTTGCTATACACATTATGATTTAGCATCAAGTATTAAAATATAAATCACAACCAGACTGCAACATAAACACCAAGTAAAACTCTATGTTCCCATGCCTTTGCTAGTTTTTTGTTTTATTTTGTTTCATTTTGAGTAGGAGTCTCGCTCTGTCGCCCAGGCTGGAGTGCAGTGGCATGCTCATGGCCTGCTGGGCTCAGGCGATCCTTCCACCTCAGTCTTCCAAGTAGCTGGAATTACAGGCGAACACCACCACACCCAGCTAATTTTTTGATTTATTGTAGAGATGAGGTCTCATCAAGTTGCCCAGGCTGGTCTCGAACTCGTGGGCTCAGGCAATTCTCTTACCTCAGCCTCCCAAGGTGCTGGGATTATAGGCTTGAGCCACTGTGCTTGACCAGTCTGCTAGTTTTTACTTAACAGTTGTGACTATAAAAGAACATGACATTTTTTGACAAACACAACAGAACTCAGATAAAAATGCATACTGTCCCTTCAAGGCATCACCTTCTGTCCATTCAGAGGCATTCTATGTCAGCAATTCCTCCACTCAACATATTATTTTGAAAATTACCACTATGCTCAGGAATATTTTGTGTGTGTGTGTGTGTGTGTGTGTGTGTGTGAGAGAGAGAGAGAGAGAGAGAGAGAGAGAGAGAGAGAGAGAGAGAGAGCGTGTGTGTGTGTGCACTTAATAGAGCACATTTTTTGTCTTTTGGAGAAAATGTGCTACAGTGAGCTGGATGAGCAGGGTCCTTCTAACTTTCTCATATCATAGCAGTATCACCTCGGGCACCTCTTTCACCTTGTTGCAACTGGTTCCTCTGAAAACTAGAGATAGGAACACAATCCTCCTGTTGTATGGTGTTTGGGGTTTAAATGAAATGAAGCTAAGACAGTGCTAAAAGGGGGAGGGGGCGGGGGGACATTCTTCCCCCATTCCTTCTTTTAATTTTTAATGTAGACCCAGTGAAATCTATTTCTTATGTCTTTCTTTTGAGGACAACCTTTGCCACCATTTTTTAAATAGCCAAAGGAACCCCTTGCAGAAGGGGTTAAAAACAATGAATTTGCAAACCGCATAATTTCCTATCAACGAAGACATGCATGAGTGGAAAAGATGAGGGTGAATTTCCAGGGTGGTTCAGACACTGACTGGTTCTGGAGAATACTATAGAAGAGGCTCAGGAGAGAGGTGTTTGAGAAGGGGCAGCCTCGGGGGAATGGCTGCCATGCCTCTTAAGGTGATCCCTGGAAGGGGACAGCAAGTATCTGCCCATGTAAGGTCTCTTGTGATCATGCAGCTCCACTCCAGGAAGGCTCAAGTCTTCTGTTTGATTCTCTGGTGAAACTCTACCCACGAGTCCCATCAGTTGCTGATTAACTTGAATCTGAGAGCTTGAAATACAAGGAGAGTCTGAGGCTCCCACAGATCCTGAGGGGCAGGAGCACTCTCACCCCAGGTCTGATTCTCTCACAAACATTCTGTTTTCTCCTCCAAGTTCACTCCCTCTACTGACCACAGCCATCTGCTGTGCTTCCCATGGTGCCAAAGAACTTTCCAAACTACTTAGCCCCTAAGACTGTGGTTTTGGCTCCAGAAAGCCCTAGTGCCTGGCAACACATAGGCCTTCGTCCTTCATTTTCTCACAGGACATCATAAGCATCGCTCTGGAGCCTCCCTTAGGAGCGAATGTGCAGAATTTTCTTGAATGTCTTCTTACAGTTCTCATTGCACAGGGGGTAGATGAGGCGGTTCAGTGTAGAATTGATGTAGCCCAGCCAAATGGTGAACATGTGCACATGCTCGTTGCCACAGCTCTTGCAGAAGGCGATGACCATGAAGAAGATGAAATAAGGGATCCAGCAAAGGATGAAGGCTGCCATGATACAACCCAGTTGTCTGGCAGCCTTCCGTTCACGGTTCATGTGCAACCCAGACACATACTGTCTTGAATGTGAGCGGAGCCTCTTCCAAGTGAACTTGATGTAGTCCAGGCCTGTGTTAGATCCACTTCTCAATTTGCCTTTGCCCGGTGCTGGCTCTGTGGGGGTGTCTGAATCTGTCCGGGAGAATGACTGGCTATCACCTAGTGTCTGATCCTCTGACATCTCACTGACCCCGTGCATGTTCAGATCCGACTCATCCATCTTGAGCTGGCTCTGGGCCTGATTGACAGCAATGTAGTCCTCGCTACTCCCCTCTGCCACAGTCTGCAACTGCACGATGTTTAGGGGGAAGCAGTGGAGTTCGCTTATTTCTTCATCCTCTTGGCTAAAAACAACCGGGGAATTCATCTCCTCCGGGTCTTGAGATGGTGGCTTCAAGACAGATCCACCACCAGCACCTTTTGGTGTCATTTTCAGAACCTCCCAGGGAGACTCCTTCCTGGTTTCTTGGTATTCACCTTGGGATTCTCTGGCTTCAGCCTAATTTCTGAGAAGGAAAGGAGGGACCCATTGATGAGCTCCCGGTGCTGACAATGTGCCGTACAGCCTTGTAGATCTTGGCATAGCACCAGAGCATGAGCAAGGCGGGCAGGTAGAAGTTGATGATGGTGGTCATGACCTTGAACCAGGTGACATCATAGAAGTCTGTCTCCCACTTGTCCTCCCGGTGCCCCGAGGTCTGAGGCATGAAGCGATGCCAGCCTAAAATGGGAATAACCCATAAAAAGGAGAGAAACCAGGCCCCCAAGATGGTGGCTGATGCTCGGGTCTTGGTTCGATACTTCAGGTACCTGAGGGGCTGCTGGACAGAGCGGTAGCGATCGATGCACGAGATAAAAACACTGAAAATGGATGCTGTGCTGGCCACATAGTCCATCGAAAGCCAAAAGAGGCAGAGAGGCCGGCCAAGGGACCACTCGGACAGGAGCAGGTAGAGGTTGTTCGTGGGCATGACTACAGCGCCAACAATCGGGTCTGCCACCGAGAGGCTGACGATGTACAGGTTCCCCACAGTGTGTAGTTTCTGCTCACTTCGTACGGCATACAGCACCAGCAGGTTGTGACCCACTGTGACCAAGGAGATGGTGCTCAGGACCCCTACCAGGGGCATCAGCTGCGGGCTGGCCATGGTGGTCTTGTTCCCCTCACACATGTTGTCTTCTAAGAGGCAGGAAGAATTGGGGAGGGTCATTGGCACGAGCAGCCTCCAGTTATGGCTCACTCCCCGCGCCGGCTCCGCGAAAGTCTGGTGGCTCGGCGGCCACTGTGGCCAGGCTCGGCGCGCCCATTCCTGTTTCTTAAGCACCCCAAATTTCATGAATTGGACATCACGATCCTTGAAGATTTCTACCCAGACTGTTAGCAAATATAAACATGACATAATCAGAAAAACCATATTCTTAGCTTTAATGTAACCAACTGTAGGAATAGAATTTTTTTTTTCATCTGCCTGTACTATAATGTGTTTTTTCCTCATATCAGATTCCATAATACATAAGAAAATGGAGAAGCATGAAATACTGAATTTAGGAAAAGCAAACAGACAAGTTCCAACTTGTGGTCATTGCCAAGAGGACAATGGAGGATTAATTTTTTATGTCTCTTTGGCTTGACTTTTCAGCCTAGTAGGTGTTCTTTCGACTTAGTAAATATTAATATTTACTGATTTCATTGCACATTCGATCTCTCTCAGAATCATGTCCAGAATATACCTTAAGCGAATACATTATTGGCAAGAATGATGGATTTTTATAGAATACTTGAGCTGTAACAAATATATCTTGAGAAGTAAACAATCTTAATTTTAAAAGTTTCAGATGATTTGATTTGCTTACTAAAGAAGGGATGAGCTTAATTTGGAATTGAACGTCTAAACTCTCTCGTAATTCTTGAGGAGCTGAACCATGCTGACTGAAGAAAGTGAAGGAATGTTAGGTTTAAGCTGTTTCTTTCTAAGAGGATCTTGCAGGACCCATGTGTTGACAGTTAGGTAGATAGCATCTTCACGTATTTGTGGAAAGGTGACAATAATTTAAGCCTTTCAGAAACCCAGTGAGAAATTAGAATCAAATACAGTGAAAAGGCATTTAAGAAACTTTGAGAGCAGATAATTAGTTTCGTTTGACAATTAGACGGACAATAGTTTTCACCACTTACTCACCTGTGTTCATTCACAGGCAATGCTTGAACCGAGATGTTTTGATAATTCTTGACTTACTTTTAGGTCCAGTACTGGGTCAAGACCTCTCACATGGCAAATTATATGGCATTGAAGACCAAAATGAAGACATGAGAGTTTGTTCTGGTTTGTTTTTGTTTTTTTTTGAGTCGGAGTCTCACTGTCATCCAGGCTGGAGTGCAGTGGCATGCTCCTGGCCACTGCAGCCTCGACCTGCTGGGGTCAGGCGATCCTTCCACTTTAGTCTTGCAGGTAGCTGGAACTACAGGCATGCTCCACCAGGCCCAGCTACTATATATATATGTATATATATGTATATATATATGGCCTCCCAAAGTACTGAGATTATAGGCGTGAGCCACCATGCCCGGCCAGAGAGTTAGTTCTGTTTTTACAGAAAGCTAACATTTTGTTTGTAGAAGAATACAGGTGTTCTCAGACTCATCGATCTATTGGTCTCCGGTTATCTTTAAATTTCTTTATATTTTCAACTTGAGAATAAGAATAATTCAGCAATCTCTTATAGAGTGGAATTTCAAATAATCAAAAACGTCTATTCAACACAAACCTTTCTTCCTAATTCACACACACCTTAGTCCTGTGATGCCAAGGTGTTCACTAATTATTCGTAGAACCTGCAAGTTGCCTTTGTTATATAGGGTAAGGGTTACTAGTCTTGACAAACGTGAGTTAGCTGTACTGAATAATGCTGATAATGCATTTGGGGAGTCTTCAAAGGAGATTTTTAAAGGTTTATCTTAAACGTGTGTTCCCCTAAGTGCGCCCTTGGTATTAGTGTTTTTTTCTCTTAGGCTGCTGGTCTGGACATTCACAACGGAGAGATACTTGTGCAATATTCTTCTCAGTTTAGGAGTCTGATGGGTAAAATTGCTGGCTCAATCCAAATCAGTTCTAGAAAGGAACTAAAGCTCTTTAGCCTATGCTGGGTGCCAGACAGATTATGCTTTTGATGTTCTTGGGGTTAATTTGGGAGCTTTTCAAGACAGATGCAGCTCACTGGTTTAATCTTCTATCCAAATTTATTCACCTCCAAATCCTCCACTGAAATTTAACATCCCCCTTTGTCTAGTTGCAGTAGCCAGAACTAATGGTAATATAAATTCATTTAATGGACAAATCATTCTCCCCTTGCCATTTCTTATTGCTAGTATCTGAAGTTAAGATGCTAGACTTCATTTCCTTGTCAATCTCAACCTCTCTTCAAACAAATTCACATATATAAGGGGTCTCATACCTCCTCTGCAACTTTGCTCTAGCCTAGACCACATCCATTTTCTTCTACTGTTTCATTTCCTCTCCTTGCCCTCACTCCCCAGTTACCCAATTTTAAAAGAAATAATTAATCTCAGATCACAAAATAGGAAGAAAATAAATGACAACTATATGAAGCAGAGGTCCTGCTTTTGAATAACTATGCATTTAGCTTTTTAAAAGGCACTTCATCCATGCACTTCCCTCAAAAGACAACTTGACAAGAATTTTTGACTAAACAGAGCAATATTTAACCATCGAGCATAATGAAACAATCTAATTTGGCTAGCTGTTATTTCCTCATGAGAGTGGGAGAGGAAATAGAATGAACTTAAAACATTATTTTCTCTTAAATTTACCTTTGTAGGCATCTGTCTTCATCCATGCGACCGTTTATTTGGAGGAAAGCTTGGAGTCACTGAAGCAAACATTGCTTTATATACACTATGATACGAGATCAATAATGCGACTGGTGCACCAAGCAAAAAAGAGCTCGAGATTATGTTACTGTTTTCTTTTACTGTTCAGTCAACAGAAAAAAAGAGCCAAAAGAAAAGAAAGAAAATACAAAGAGAGACATTTTCATCTCCTGATTTTAGCTTGCATTCTCCTCTCACCCCCCAGGGAATGAGTGTGCAAGACGGTGTAATTACCATCTTAAAAGGTAGTTATAGAACTTAAATAAAAAAAAGCATTCAGTATGTCATGCTTTCACAAGCGATGATGGCTTTTTGAATGAAGTGTCAGCGAGCCTGTTGGTATTTAACTAGTATTAGCATTGTGTGTATTTTTCCCTTCTTTAAACAAATACTCATGCTATTATTTTTCAAGTGGGTTTCTTATAGCAGTCATCTCATTGGGTTTTGCTTTTTAAAAAATGCAGTCTGACATTTCTGTCTTTTAATTCGGGTGTTTAAACCATTTACATTTAATGTGATGACTGTTGTTGTTGACTTGAAACCTATCTTGCTATTTATTTTTTCTTTGTCCCGTTTGCTTTTTGTTCTTTATTGCCTTCTTTTGAATTGAGTGTACTTATTTATTTGAGTTGGGGGGTCTCAATCGGTCATGCAGGCTGGAGTGCAGTGGCATGGTCATGGCTCATCACAGCCTCAAACTCCTGGGCTCAAGTGATCCTCTCATCTCAGCCTCCTGAGTAGACAGATGGGACTACAGGCATGTGCCACCATGCCCGGCTAATTTTTTTTTTTTTTTGTGGAGATGAGGTCTTGGTATGTGGCCCATGTTGGTCTCAAACTCCTGGGCTCAAGCAATCCTCCTGCCTTGACCTCCTAAGGTTCTGGGATTATAGGCGTGAGCCCCTGAGCCCAGCCTGGTTTGAGTGTTTTGAATGATTTCATTTTATCTCCTTTGTTGGCTTACTAGCTCTAACTCTTAGCTTTATTTTTTTATTGATCGCTTCATTGCTTCATAGCATATAGTATACATCTTTGGCTTGTCTTCGTCTACCTGTAGCAAATCATACCACTTCATGGATGTGTGAGAACCTTCTTACAACAATAGGCTTCCATTTCCAAACTCCTGGCCTTATGTTTTCTTATTGTCATTCATTTTATTTCTACATATGTAATAAACTCCACAATACATTATCATTTTTGCTTTAGTCATTTTATATATTTTTTAAAATAAACATTTTTAATTTTTCAATAAATATTTTTTAAAATTAAGAAAAGAGAACCTTCATTTTTGCTTACATACTTCTCATCTACGGCACACCTCATTCCTTTGTGTAGAACCAGATTTCTGTCTTGCGTCGCTTCCTTTCTGCCTGAGTGACTTTCTTTAATATTTCTTGTAGTGAGGCTCTTCTGAGGATAAATCCTTCTAGGTTTTGTATGTTTGAAACATTTTTTATTTTGTCTTTATTTTGGGGTATAAAATGCCAGGTTGAGCTGGGCTCTGTGGCTCAGCCCATAATTGCAGCACTTGGGGAGGCCAAGGCGAGTAGATTGCCTGAGCCCACGAGTTCGAGACCAGTCTCAACAACTTGATGAGACCTCGTCTCTACACTAAATAAAAAATAATTTGCTGGGCATGGCAGCATGCACCTGTAGTTCTAGTTACTTGGCAGAAGGATCGCTGGAGCCCAGAAGGTCGACGCTGGAGTGACTGCGAGTGTGCCACTGTGCTCCATCCTGGGTGACAGAGTGAGACTCCAACTAAAAAAAAAAAAAAAAAAAAAAATTCCATATTGACTTTTATTTTTCTTCCAGGTCTTTAATTATATTGCTCCATTATTTTCTAGCTTACATTGTTTCTGAAAAAAAGCCCACTCTCACTTATTTTTTCTCTTCCATAATGTTTCTTTCTACCCTGGCTGCTTTTTATTTTTTTCTTTATCATTGTTTTTAAGCAATTTTAGTGTACCTTTACTATAATTTTTTTCCACATTTGTAGGCTTGAGGTTCATGGACCTCCTTGGGTCTGTGGGTTTATAATTTTCATAACATGTAGAATACATTCAGCCATTATTTTAAAAGATACTTTTCTAATTCTTCTCTCCCAACTGACTCTAATTGAATTTAATTCTTTCACAACTCACTGTTGCTTTGTTGATTTTTTAAAAAAACTTTTCTTCATGCTTTAAGTTCTGGTGGTTTCTCTTGCTTTGTCTCCAAGTTCAATCATTGTTTCTTCTGCAATGTCTAAGCTGCTGTTAACCATATTTAATATATTTTAAATTTCAGTCATTATATTTTTTATTTTTAGAAATTTGATTT